TGAATTGAATTGAACCTTTCTACAGAACCCTAGAATCTTTAAAATTCCCAGACTTTCAGTTGGTGTCTGGTTCCACCACAGTGGTTCTGGTGAATCATTGTACTGTTTGGATTCAAACAGGAAGTGAACACTCACAGCCCAGACCGCAGAGGTGAAGCCCAGCACGGCAGCTTTCATCCCGTCTGCAACAAATGGAACGATGTTCTCGCCCAAACGGGCATCTCGGTACAGAGCACGGAGGATGTTCAGAGCGTGGACCTGCAGAAACACAACAGAACCTTTAACTGTTCACCGCCCATCAGAACATCTGCAGGTAACAACTCTTTCTGAGCCACCAGAACCTTTAATCGTTAGAGGTGGTGCTGACAGAAGTCAGCATCACAGAACTGGGTCACACGACAGAAGAACAATGACCCACATGCTTCATCAGTTTCTTATTGCTCAGACAGAAAGACGCCTGCAGAGATGTTCTGACAATGGTTCTGGTTGAAATGGACTGGTATTGATTACTGAAAAAAACCTGCGGCACGGAGCAGCTGCCAGTGGTTCTGTCTGGAGACGGCAGGGCCAGAACCGTCAGCTCCTTCATGGTCTTCTTAAGAAGACTGCAGCTGGATGATTTGGGTTCAGACGACAGCAAAGCCTGCATGAAACAGGAAGTGTGATAAATAGAGCACATTCTAGAACATTTACACTCAATTCAATTCAATTCAGTTTATTTCTAAATCTCCAAGTCACAACAGAAGTCGTCTCAGGCACTGAACAGAAACATTCATCTATAAAATAATAATAGAACTTTATTTATCTGAGGAGCAGACTGCTTTGAGATTAACTCCATCACAGAACTCTCATCTTGAACAAGCCTGAAGGCGACAGTTAGTTATCTTACTTTATCAAGCTGAGACCCCAGTCTTGTCTGCCCAGAGACGGACCAGTTATGGCCCGTTTCTATACAGATGAGACGGGCCCAGCTGCTCTGAGTGAGCGTCCCAGGATCAACACCCAATAGGGAGTAATTTTTAATTTTGCTGTCTTCCATCACATAGATAGATTTGCACTTTCACCTATTCTTTCTCCATCAGAAACATTCATTCAACCTTCATTTAGACGGTAAATCCCATTGAGCCTCGAGGACTCATTTACAAGAGAGACCTGATTT